TCATGTTATGTGTTTCTTTTACCACAATAATTTTTTAAGACAAGCATATAAAACAGCGTTGGTCTCTGCAAACATATTGATTCATTCCAACTTTGAAATAGGGAGATTACTTTTTTGGGAATAAGAAGTATTCTGTTCCAGCTACTATTAGACTAGAGAGGAAGTCTCCAGAAAAGGTGGAATGGGGAGACACAGAGAGAGATCTTGTTTACATCAAAGACCCAATAGAGCAGCATTCAAAATCCCTCTGGAATATCAGGAAATAACTGTGACTGGGTGTCCAAAAATTTCACAATTTACTATTTTATATGCCAGTCAATGAAATATGCATAAGAATGTAATAACATGCTGAAAACATCTTAAAACACTTTTAAAATACATAAATACAAGGCACTGTTCAAGGTAGTAAAAGAAGCCACTGTTGAGTGGAGAATAAAGATAAAGATCTCTGGCAGCATATAATTTAAAACAATCATCAATGGAAGAAAATTTAAGAGAAAATAATGAGATATCCTTAAATGTGGATAGCCTTAAAAAGCCATAAAATCAAACTCAAGATAAATCTTACAGTCCAATGGTAATGATTATTTCTTGATGTTATCTGGATTTCCATTAAAGGGTTTTTTCCTCAACATAGTATTTCAAATATATCTCTACGTACATTCCTGACAGGACAGCAGTTGAAAAACATCTACACGATTACTTGCTGTGCCGGCCTTCCTTTGTTGAATAAATGGCTTAATAAAAATGTTTAGAGTAGGAAACCATTCATGTTGAAAATGTGAAATGTCTTCTTTAATAGACAATTAAGCATCAGCACATCTATGTGAAGTGCATACATTTTTTAATGTAAACTTTCAAGCAAGATTTAAACCAGCCTTGCAGATATATTCAAAATAAGAGTTGGACTGGAGAAAGGAAGTACACCATTTTTCTTCTGCCAATAGAAAGTCTTCTGTCACTATCACTCCAGAATACTAACTAGTCTTTAGAGTGATACAGGTACTAGTGCAAGTGATGGCATTTTGTAAATTGTATCATTATCCTCTTTATTAACTCCACATCTATGCCTCATTTGAGTTAACAATCAATGCTATGTTGAATTTGGTCTACCTATTGAGTATTTGCTAAATCAGCCCATTATGAAGACATGACACAAAGGGAACGATGACACCTTCTTCTGTTTTGTTTTTTTCTTCTATAATTATAGTATATTTTAAAACTGGGGATTATTTAAAAATAATTTTAATTATTTTTTCAATTACAGTTTACATTCACTATTATTTTGTATTAGTTTCAGGTGTACATCACAGTGGTCAGGCAATCATATACTCTACAAAGTATTCCCCCTGAGACACCTTTCTTAAAGTATCTAGGAACTGGAGTTATCTATAATAATAAAAGTGTAATATGCTAATTAGAACAGACATCCTTCTGGACATCCTTCCAGACCACCTTCTGGACAAAGCCAGGGCTGCGAGAGAAGCCCGGGTCCTGGGTGCCAGAGGGAAGCCGGTGCCGGCAACCGGGGGAAGGAAGGCCTACTCTTGCATGAATTTCGTGCATCAGGCCTCTAGTATGTAATAAAAAGGGCCATGAAACTAAATCTTCCCAATTAAAAGTGGGCCAAAAAAGACAAAATTTTTATACCAAATGAGATATAATTAGTTATTTTTTAATGTATCTTTATTGTTGCAAGTATTAGAGAGGTCCTGTATTTTCCCCCATTGACCCCTTCTACCCTACTCCCACTCCTTCCCCAGGCCTTTCCCCACACCCACCCCCCACTATTCTCCGTCCATGGACTATGCATATATGCATGTAAGTTTTTTAATTAAACTCTTTCGGTCCTTCTCTCTTCCCTCGGAAATACATTACACTGTTCCATGCTCCTATGTCTCTGGATCTATTTTGTTGGTCAGTTTTGTTCATTAGATTCCACATATAAGTGACATCATGTGATACTTGTCTTTCTCTGGCTTACTAGGTGTACCAGTTAATAATGCAGAATTTTTTCAATAGATGGAGTTACACATAAGTTGATATATATGCGATTTGATATGTATGCTATTTTGTTGTATTGACAGCAAGCTTCAAAACTTCATATGTCAAATTTTGTGAAGGTGTTAACACCATAGATATTTTTACGCTTAAAAATGTCGAATTTTGTGCCCAAAAAAGAGCATTGGAGGGAAGTTTTAATTCATTACTTTATTTTGAAGAAAAGTGCTGCTGAAAGTTATCGTGTACTTCAGGAAGCTTATGGTGAACATGCTCCATCTCAAGACACTTGTGAATGCTGGTTTAAATGCTTTAAAAGTGATGATTTTGATGTAAATGACAAAGAACACCCAGGTCAACCGAAAAAGTTTGAAGACCAACAATTACAAGCATTATTGGATGAACATGCGTGTCAAACTCAAAAACAACTTGCAG